TTTTATCAAATTAGTTTATATTTTATCAAATTGACGACTTTGTTCTTGAAATTGAGCAATGGTATCTTCAACTGTCCTTATTTGGAACAAGATTCAAAATTCAGGATCAAATGTATCACAATTGAAAAGTTAAGGACCAAAGTGGAGGGCTTCTATTTACACACCACCATTTCTCTTATCCTAGACCATTTTTCATTTTTTTTTACTCATTTTGCCCATTTAGAAAATTACCAAAAAGGACACCGCAATTCTCATTTTTCAAATTTTTTATTTATTTATTCTCATTTTACACACCGCCAACCCTCGTCCCACCCATCCCGGTTACCTTCCCTATCTATCTTCTTCTGCAGGTTCCTCCACTCCCCACTCCTCTTATTTTCCAAAAACCACCAGCCACCACCACTGTCTCCTCCGTGACCCCTTCTGCCTTGGCTACCCACTCCCCAACTTCATCTCACCGCGTCTGCCCAGTGCCCTCTTTACAGCACTGTCGCAGACCGATGAATAGAATAGATCGTGATTGAGTGATTGTAAGAGAAAGAGAGAGAGAGAGAGAGAGAGAAATCACAGATTGTAGAAAGAGAGAGATCACCACCTCATTCCCCCAAAATATCCAACCACCGCCATCACCTCCGCAGCCCGACAAAGAGACTAGATCGCGATATTGCGATCACGATTGAGAGAGTGAGAAATTGTAGGGGTGTGTGTGTAAGAGAGAGAGAGAGAGAGAGAGAGAGAGAAATCACAGATTGTAGAAAGAGAGAGATCACCACCTCATTCCCCCAAAACATCCAACCACCGCCACCACCTCCGCAGCTCGACAAAGAGACTAGATCGCGATATTGCGATCACGATTGAGAGAGTGAGAAATTGTAGGGGTGTGTGTGTAAGAGAGAGAGAGAGAGAGAGAGAGAGAGAGAGAGAGAGAGAGAGAGCGAGATCCAGGTAGGTAGTAGGTGGTAAAGAGAGGTGACGACTAAGGGAGAAGGCTCCCGTACCGGCAGTGGAAGTGGTCGGGGTTGAGGTTCTGGTTAGTAAAAAATGATGAAAATAATGGGGTTTGAGGAATTTAATAGTGTGAATTGAGAAATTGTGTGGTGTGAATAAAGAAATGGTGTGGGATGAGAGAATTGATGGTGGGTAAATAGAGGCTCCCACCAAAGTGACACGAGTCGCGAACTATAGGGACTGTTAGTGTAATTTACCCTTTTAATATTTATCTTTTCTACTTAACAATTCTCTTTAATTGTCTTTCATGTTTTCTTTTTTGCTTCATTTTTTAATGGTTAAATTAATTTTCCAATGGAAATTAATTTCATAGCCTATAGATAAGATCTAAATTTCAAAGTTGAAATTTTATTTAATTTATTCTGTTTCTCATGTTTATCTTATTTTATATTTAAATTTGAACTTGAATTTTTATTTTCTTCAAAACTTCCTCTCTCTTGAAGTTTTTCTTCTATTTTAACTAGATTATTGTAGATTCTCATATATTTCAGCTTAATTTTTTCAAAGTTTGTCTTGAAGTTGAACTTTATTTTATCTTTTAAAATCATCAATTAATTATCCATATAAATTTTAAATATGATAGAATTCGAAGTATATCTTTTCCCTAAGCATAATCTTTTCAATATGAAAACAAGTATTTGAAAAAAGAACCATGAACATGAGATTGAAAAGAAAAAAATCACAATCAATATTGAGCCATTTTTTACTCCCCTTCACAGTGCCTAAAAAATCTTACATTAAATTTCAAGTCACAAGTGACTTTTTTTTCAATTGTATCTACTTTACATTTGAAATGTGTACTTATATGAGTGTTTGCATTTGTGGGAAATGAACTTTATGCAAATGAATATTATTATTTTATTGTTCTTTAAATTTTGTTTATTTTTCTTATTTTCCTACAATATGTATTTTTTTATTTATTTATTTCTTTTTTGGCTAATAATGTTTCATTTAATTGAGATTTCATTCTATTTTTGAAGTACTACTGTAACGCCCCGAAAATAATACAATAATTCAACAGTAAAAACTAATACAACATGATATAAATAGAATATTATGCTTTCATTAATCAGAGTCAATTTACAAAAGGGGCACATGCATTACACATTCATAAGTTCTACCTTGAATCTATAACATGTGACACCAAACTGGATGATCAACGAAATAAATGCCCTACGGGCTTACAATTTTCCAAGACGATGCTTGGTTATAATAAAATAAGTTAGAAGCTCAATACAAGTAAAGTCCTAAGCTTGTACAAAAGTGAATACAAAATAAACAAAAGTGAGCTTTCAGCCTCACAATCCTCCCAAGCTAGGCCCTTTGTGGAGGTATGTCACTAGCACCTGAAAATGATTTCCCAAGTAGGGTGAGCCAAAACCCAGTAGAGACAATCTATCACAATATATAAATCTTAACAAAGATATAAGAAATATGCACGTGTTCAAGGTCCAATGACAAAATCTTTTACAACTCTTTTTCCAAATCATGTTATACCAAACTTACGTCTCAATTCATTATGTCCCGGTTCATTAGATATACCCACTTTATTTAATTGATCAAACGGAGGATACAACTCACAGGTCTTCAACCAACATAATTATCATACAGATACATTCACTTGTCATTTTACAGAAATTTCATCTGCGAGAATCAGTACCTATGTGTATGCGCGGTTTTCGAGAATTTCACCCTAGACATATAGGCCAACTTAATTTATGGAGTGCATCATCTTTCTCCTCCCAAACATGGAGTACATCCATTTTCTCCTCTCAAATGTCATACATATATAATGTATGCACATCACAATCATATTCAATGATAACGATAAAGAGATTAGTTTCAATTCACCTAATCCTCATGCAATTGCTATAACAATCATGGCTATCCTCCACCTATAACCCAAAACAGATATTTCTAAACAGATATACAATCTTTATAACAGATAAATTATCCGAATTTTCCATAAGTACGAGATAATGCATGTCTAATTCTATCATTTACATCAACATTCATCCATATTCTCAATACTAATTTCATTATTTATACAAAATACTTATTCAAGGCAATTTAGGGCAAAAATCCCCCTTTTCCCAATCTCATCCCAAACACGAAAATTAACCATTTTAACACAACACAAGCTCATATCTACTCTCATATTCATTTCCAATATATATATATTCAAAACCCTTTTTTTGATTTTAACCCAAACCCTAGGTTTGTAACCTCAAATCCTAATGTTTCTTACATATCAACAAATATTTGAGTTAAAACTCATAGAAGAGTGTAGAAGATCCTTACCTCAAACTTAGAAGACCAAGGAAGCAAAGGAGAAACTTTAAGAGCGCCGAAACCAAGCTTTATTCGGATCAAAATGGATCTCTAGCAATGCTCTATCTTTTTATCAAAGAGAGTAGGGTAGAGAGATCCTTAATATAGGTGTATTTGTAGAGAGAAGTGGTGCTCTAGAGAGAGAGGGGGTTGGTCTAGGGTTTTTGAGAGAAGAGATATAAAAAAGTGATGTAAAAAGGCATTTTTGCGAACTGATATACGCGCAGCTTGCTCGAGCACAAGAGTTGTCACTCGAGTGACCAGATACAAATAAGTTACCTCGCTCGAGCGCAGAATACATACTCTCAGAAATTTTACAGATAGAAGACCGTCGCTCGAGCGCAAGAGTTCTCGCTCGAGCGAAGAACACTATACTCCCAGTATATTTGCAGGCCTGCAAAAGTATTGGGATCTCGCAAATCTCGCTCGAGCGCAATAAGCCTCGCTCTAGCGAAGAGGCCAAAATTTGAACAATAACAATTTTAGCCAACTAGCAACCAACTTGTTCCAAACACAACCAAGACACTCTAAAAACTCAATTTCAATGAGGAATAAGGAAAAAAGAGACAAGAACAACAATATAGAAATCATGAAACTCGAGCCCAGAATGCAACAATGGGTTGGGTCAAAACCAGAATTGCTATAATTACTATTATTAATTTGTGATTCTTTCACTTATTGACTATTTGTGTTTAATTTTTTTGAGTGTAGATGTTAGATTGAAAGGGAAGAGAGCATCAAAATTTATTTGAATATGGGTTTATGTTTTAAATTTAATCATTAATTATTTTTGGTTATTGATTGTCATGCTGAAATAACTTATGATTAAATTAACTTTAGGAACTCATTTCTTTTGAGACCTAAATCACAAATTTCTTCCTTTTTTTAAATGTCTTTTTATGCAAATTCAAATTTTGAGTAAATGAAAGCAATCTCAATTTTAAAATGTTAGGTTTTTTTGAATAGTTTAACTATGTTTATTCTTTATATTTGTCAGTTCGACTTTAATACACTTCCAAACCTATTTATGTTTAGTGAACCAATATAAAATTAAAGGAAAAAAAAAAACAAATAGCATACAAAATTTTTTAACCATTAACTAAATATAATAGAAATTAAAATTAATTTTATTTTAATTCATTATACTTTGTGGGGATGATTAATATAATATCTTTTATTGATTGAAAGAAAAAAGTAAAAAAAAATAACATTATTTTATTTAATGTTAATCATTTTGATTAATTATAATTTTAGCATGCTTTTGTTATATCACTTTTGGTTGTTTTAGCTAACTCTTGTTATCTATTTGTTATGTGATAATTTACATAATTTATGATAATTTTTTTAAAAAATTTTTGTTGTGAAATATTAAAATTTCTAAATAATGTAAAATAAAATTTATATACACAAATTAAGTTAAAATATTTATATACACAAATTAAGTTAAAATATTTTATTCATATTAGACAATACACACCAGTAACCATTAGTTGATAAGAGTGAATTTATAGTGGTGTTAAATAATTTAACTGTCTTTGAGTTCAAACCACAACACTGATGACTGACCAAAGAATTCCTCGATGATCTCTCTGCTTCTGTCGGTTGTCTGGTCTGTGAGGATCATAACAGAAAGATCCAAGCTGGTGCATAATTTTTGGAGTCACGCCATCGTTTGGTATCACAAAAAACCATCGTTTATTTTCTCTCTCTACTTCCCCTCTCAAGGTACCCCAATATCCTCTTCAATTTTTTCGATTTCTTTTGATAAACTTTAATCTTGTTAGGGTTTTATTGTTCATATGCATGTACTTATCTCTATGTGTATATGTGTTTACCCGAGATTTATTGATTAGTTTTCGATTGATGATTGGCACTCTCATTCTTTAGATTCGTTTACTGTGAAAAGATTGTTGATTTTTAATGGTTTGATGGGTTTCAACATATGATACACTGTGCTTATTATTGGGATATCAATGGGACGGATATTAACTCTCCATCCCCGTTCCCCTATTATAATTTTTCCCCATTCCCCATCCCCATTCCCATCCCCATCTCCTAATGGGTTTTATTTTTATTTTTAAAGGTTCACAACCAAAGCTAAATATACATTTTATTTTATTTTTTTAATTCAACAACAAAATCAAATACACATTAATTAATTATGTATAGAAATGAAGAAATTATTGAATTGGAAGAGGTTTCAAAATCCAAACAAGTAAATCAAGAGACTGAAAATTGACTTGAGAAAATTCAGAGATTGGCAACAACAAAAACAGAGATCAGTACAATAGAAAATGTGTATATATATATGTACAGTTTATAGATAGAAACACTTTACCTTTAAAGCAAAGCGAAGCAAGGTCTCTCTGTGTCCAGTGATTGACTCCGGCAGCTCACAGTAGGGATGGCCACGGGGAGGGTTTGGGGTGAGTTTGTCATTTCCCGCCCCGACCCCAACCCCGCTACAGGTGTAATATTTCAACCCCATCCCCACCGTCGTGGATACCCGATACTCACGGATTACCCGACCACATTTCAAATAGTCAAAAAAATTGAGAACCATTTAAATTCACAGCACATTAAATAATTTCCCTTGTTTTTCCATATATATAAACAATAAAACTTTTAGGATTATTATTTATTTATATTTAAACAGAACACAGATTTTTAATATTCCTTTCTTATATCTAATTATATTATATATATACATATACATTTATATTATTTATTTATATATATTATTAATTATATCGGATCGGGTTGGATAGGGAGAGGCAATACCCGTTCCCACTCCACCCCCGTTGTGGGTGGCCAAAATATAATCTACCCTTGCCCCACATATGTGTCGGGTCAGATAAAATCCACTCATTTGGGCGGATATGGGCCAGCCCCGCAGATTGGATTAAAATGGCCATCTAACATTATCCAACCATTTTTGGACAAATTCATGGCCCTGTTTAAAACAGGGGACCCCTAATTTAGAACTGTAAATACGTTCCTTTGTCTATTTCTTAGAGAACACAACATTCTATAGAGAGAGAGAGAGAGAGAATTCTTCGGATTTGTGATCACCACTAGCGAGACTCCGGCAGCTTTTAGCGAATTCAAAAAATGGAAAGTTTTGTGATTTATGATTATATATATATGTATCTATGCTTGCACATATATGGGAAGAGATCATGAATAAAGAGACAAGGGAGGAGAACATCTCGGTGTGGGTATATATGTATGTACATATAGTAGAAATGGGCGGGTACCCATTACTGACCCCATCCTCGATGGAGATTTAAAGAACACAACTTACCTGGCCCGACGGTTAAGAAAAAAGGGGGAAATCCATGTATTTGGGTCGGGTCTCCATGGGTTTCCACAGGGTTGATTATCCATTGCCATCCCTATTATTGATTCAATTATTTGTAAGTTAATATTGGGATGCCAATTTGATTGCTATTCAGAAAGTGATACAAAAAACCCTTGCATAGGAGGGTGCCCATCTTGATCTAGGGCGCCCCTTTGTGGCGGCTCGAACCACAAAGCCAGTGCCCATTTAATCCTGTACTCCCATAAGTATCCAATCACACTCGGTGTGTCAGCGAGTTAAACTAGAGCTCAACTTGGCTTGCAAAATAATGTGCCCTAGAAGAGCATATAGACACATGCATGGTCAAGCTTGCACTTTACCTATTTGGCACAATTTGAGGATCATAACAGAAAGATCCAAGCTGGTGCATAATTTTTGGTGACTAGGTGGATATCTTTCTTTTCCTTCTTTGCTTTATTTTCAATTTCATTTTTTTCGTGTTATTTGTTTGCTACTGATGCTTATGCATTTTAATTGGCTTTGGAGTTCTTATTTGTGAGATATTGTGCTCTCATAATTTGTGTATATTTTGTCTTAAATAAACTGTATGTGAATTTGTGAGGTGGTGTTCCTTGTTGCCTTGAAAACAGATGCTGTTTAGTTGTGGGAATGTGTATAGCATGGTTTGATGATTCTTCTAGATCTTTCTCCCATTTCAATATATACATGTTTTATTTGTCTGATTTTGTGCTTCTGGACCCTTGCTTCATACTCCTATTTTAGTATTAGTTTTTTTTTGTCTCTTTTGGTTGGCACATTTCTTTTATCAGGATTTAAGATTGGGATGATGAGGATTTGACCTTAGGTCGATGAAGGGATGCTTTTCGATATCTTCTGACTTTGTTGTGAATACATTTGTAAGAAAAAAAACAGTATTGGAATTTTTATTTGTGGATTCATCTATGTATTGCATATCATTCCAAAGTCATTTTTTCCAGGTGAACTTTATTTTATTTTATTTATATCTGAATCATGTCCCATATTCAGTCGTTGCATATTGAGTTGGGATCACATGACAAGTCTATTTTTAATGCCAGATGATTTCTATCCTGCTTTTTATGCTTACTCCACCAACTTACAATCTGTTGAAATGGTGAATGGTCATTTTATTTTTGTAGGACAAAGATGAACTTTGTTTAGGAAATAGAAGGGAGTGCAACCATAATAATAGATTAGCAACTACAGTTTGGTAAATGTACTTGAAGCATATCACTTTTTGTTTGTCTTAGCATTTTGTAAGATTCTATGATCCTTCAAAGTTTTCCTTTTGTAGTGTTCTGCTGCATGAACCACATATGTTTGGTAACTGCACGTTAGGGATATAGCATCCGGAGATATTCTAGTTTTGAGTGGAATTTAAGCTGTATTTTGAATGGAAGACAAAAATTTGCAGATCATATGCGTCCTTAGTATCTTCATTTGGTGTCCAAGTATCTCACGATGTGAGCGGTTGTTTTATGTTTTGTATCCTAACCTCTTGGGATGTGAGGGGATTCATTTTGTATGCTAGCCCTGTGTGTTCTTTACCTTATTAGGTGAGATTTGATGCTTTTGGAGCATGTTTTTCTGAGTCCTTCGGGGCTTGAGTTCGAAACATTTTCCTCAAATGAGCTGAACGTATAGCACCCCAAAAATATTTAACATAAAAAATAAAAAATCTATCTCCAGAGTTTATGCAGAAGTGGAGAACTGTGGCTATTCACAGGTAGCAACTTAGATTCATCAGATGTACTTGTAGTAGCAGTGGACCTATCCAATATGATTTCCATGGCTTATTTCAAATGGTGCTGCGGCAATAGAACTGTGCATGCTGCAAATATGAATGCATCTGTAATTGTTTTATGCATTATACCTATGTCATTAATGTTTATTCCTTTTAGTGTTTCACATGAAAACATAAATTCCCGTTTTTATAGTCATTAATGGAGAGACTAACTTTTACCAATGCCTACATTTTTCATCTGGGATTTGAGTTTCTTATTTTTATTTTTATTTTCTGTTTTTTTATTCCATTTTATGTTCAATTTGGAGTATTCAATGTTGAATAAACAGTGTTTTTTTATCAGATGGCATCATTACATGAAAGTTTAAATAAATTTAAGAAGCAACAAGAGAAATGCCAGTCAACCCTTACCAGCATTGCAGCTAAAGCAGGGTCTTCTAGGGTAACAACAAATTACAAGGCCACAACTGCAAGCACTTCTCCTTCAACCAATACAAAATCTCCTGCGCCAGCCGTCAAATTCTCAAATGATACAGAGAGACTTCAACACATCAACAGCATACGCAAAGGCCCCGTAGGAGCTCAGATCAAGCGTGTTATAGACTTGCTGCTTGAGGTACAAATCCTACACCTCACTCCTCCCATTCTCTCTTCATTTTTCTTTTCCTTTTTTGGATACAATTTTCTTTCCTTGAGAGCAAATAACTGTTTGATTTCTCTATTTTCCATCTCAATCGATAATGATATTTAACAATTAATCATGTGTGTTTGATTAATTTTAAGAGCATGCGAGATATCTGAGACATTGTAAGTTCATAGATGGTCCAGTTCTCTAGAAATGAGAAGGCAATTATATTCTGTAGAAGTAGAAGATGTAGAGGCTATAAAAAATGATTCCCATACTCTATTTGTTACAAGAAATTAAACAACTGTCATAGATATAATTCAGGTGAAAGAAACAAAGTTTACACATGGACGTATTGTTGGATTTGAGTTCAGACCTGAGATTTGAGCCAAATGGCTTGTTTGGACCATGACAGTAAGCCAGTATGTTTGGGACTGTGCACATCCAAAAAGTCCTAAAGAATATCTTTGGTTGTAAATCATGAACCATGGGCTCAAGATCAAAGTAGCTAGGTCCAATTGGAAAAAATAAGTTTTTTGTCTTATTTTTATATTTGCAATGAAATGTCATTTATCTTTAGTTATATTAAAATTCTAATTTTTTTACGGGTGGGATACTTGGGGTTTTAATGAATGTATATTTATCTTTGTGACCAATTTGTATGTTTCTTAGAAATAATGTTCGTGACATTGGTTATGTGATTTAGTACTCTATTCTAGTAATATTCATATATTATTTGAAAGCGTTTTTTTTTTTTTTTCATTATTTATATTCTATGTTATCCCCCATAAAAAATATTTAGGTGGCGACTCTGTATCTGGCAAAGCAGTCCATGTTTGACACTTCTTTTCAAAAAGCTGTTTCTCAAAACGATTTGCCGGATTTGGACTCTTTGGTTCAAGATTAACAACCGTGACACAAATCGAGTCCGAACTGTAGCGGGGCCCCACGCGGGCGCGTCTACAGTTGGCGGTCGGCTTCGGTCGGTTTCACAGCTAGTTTTTTATTTACCAATCTCTCCGTTCTTGTATTCAAAACTAATATAAAAAAAAATCTCAAAATCCCTAGAAATTAATATAAAATGAAAGTATACCTTAAGAACCCTATAAATCACTATTCCTGGTAGGAGTAAGAAATAACAAAAGAAAAAAGCACTGAGGCATCATCATCATCCACTGTCTAAAGAAATCTTTGGCACCATCGCTCATCTTCTTGATCTCCCACCCCATTAACATAGTCAATCCTTCTCAATTTACTGTCAATAGTTGAATCCAAGATCAGAAAAGCAAGGGTGACGGAAGGAGATCAGAAAATTTGGGATTGAGGAGGAACAATGGGGACTAACAGATTCACCCAAAAAAAATGGGGAAAACAGAGAGTTTGTAGATAGATGGAGGAGTTACATAGACGTCCTTTTAGAGAGAGAGAGAGAGAGAGAGAAAGAGAGATCTGAAGAGTTGAGAAGTAAATGAATTAGATAAAGAGATATGGAGAGGAGAGAAATCTGGGGAGTTGATAAGTAGTAATGAGTGTGGGAAGGAGTAACAGATATATATATATATATATATATTTTGAAAATAATGAGTAAGAGAGAGATACGGGAAGGAGAGAAATATGGGGAGTTGTGAAGTAATGAGTAAGAGAGAGAAATATGGGGAGTAGGACTCTCTGAGGAGTTGTTTGTTACAAAAAAATGATAAAAAAGAAATCTGGGGAGGCGTGAAGTTGGTGATAGCTGATACGATTGTAATTTGAACTTTAAAGGAAATATTGACACATGTGGATAAAACTCTAAATCTTTAATGTTTTACTTCGGTCAGTTTGGTTTTTACGATTTTGAGGCTCAATGAACCGACGACCGACCGCAAAACTGAGATTTTTAATTACATCAAACTACAGCTGACCCATTCAAACATCGAAATCATGAATTTCCTTCTCGGTTTGGGTGGTTCGGGCTGGTTTTTCGGGCCAATTGGTTCCTTGAACAGCCCTAGACTTTGGTACAAGTGTCGGGTGTGGGTATGTATCCAGAGGTCGGACTCATTAAACCATAAATTTAAGGGTACACAAACTCTGCAAAAAAAAAAAAAACCATATTTTTATATTTTTAGTCAAGTATGTAAGATAAAATGGTGGTATATTATTGCAATCATACGACGATATGTACATACAATAATAGTGTTAAATATAATTATATAAGAAGTGTCCAATGAAAGTATCCGACACATATTCCATACCCTTGTCCGAGTGTTGGATGTCCTACATGGGTATTTGATTTATTTTGAAGAGTTCGTGTGACATAGTTTATATTTATACATGTTAATGTATATTATGATACACAATACAATATGTGATACATAAAAATGATTCAGCGATGCTCGGTATGTATCAAAAGTCAACATCATGTTGAAGAATTTCCAATTGTGCTTTTAGTTCATCACTTCATCTTCCATCACTTAAGCAGAGCATTTGTGTATCTCTTCTCCTCCTTTGTAGGTGTTCCTGAATACCAATTATAATGAATAGTTTGCCTCTTTTTGAAAACTTTCACATACTCATAACTGAATGCATCACCTTGGTATGGATAAGTACAAATGGTTGAAGATATCAATTTTTAATCAGTGCTTTCCCTAAAAGTTAAAATGGCTAAAATCAAGCTTTAGATGTTTTGGTCATGTTCTTGGACATGGGAATTAGATGAATCGGGGTCTCATACACTGCCTGTACCAAACAGCTGTACCTGAGTTTATGTAACATGGTTTCTAATACTCCTTATGAAGTGAGACCCAATTATAGCCCTTAAAACCTTAAGATACCTACTGTACAATTCACCCACCCCGCTGGATGCGCAGGGAAGGGATATGTGAGAAGTCAATTTTATTCATTTGTCTTTCCAATTTACTGTAGGATCACTTGTAAGGGATCAAACACATCCTGATTATTTATGTATAAAATATTTTGTTCTGCAGACAAGGCAAGCCCTAACACCAGAGCAAATAAATGAAGTTTGTTATGTTGATATAAATGCCAACAAAGCTGTCTTTGACAGTTTGAGGAATAACCTAAAAGTGCACTATGATGGGAGGTGTTTCTCTTACAAGGTAAATCCTAATCTTTTCACTTGGAGCCCTGGTGGGTAAGTGTACTTCAATGTATTGGGGAAGGTCTGTCATGAGGGGAAATTTACTTGGTTTTTTATTTGTTTACAGTCCAAGCATGATCTGAAGGACAAGAATCAATTACTTATCTTAGTACGCAAATTTCCAGAGGGCATTGCCGTTATTGATCTCAAGGATGCGTACCCCAACGTCATGGAGGACTTACAGGTGTATTCAATTTTTAAAATCAGTTTTGATTTTTTACGGAAAAGTCAATTTTTTGGATTACTAAGTTTGCAGTTAAGCTTGCAAGAAGACTATGTTTGTTCATTTACAAATAACCAGAGGTGATTTATCGCCCTACAAAATTTGTGCTAAGAAAATGGACACTTTTCTGTGGTGCTGTGCCATGTTGGATGCATGATGTCCATCACGGTACGGGCACACTGTCAGGCATGTGTTACACTTAAAATTGCATTGTTAGTGTGGCTGTACCATGTTGTATTTGTATCTCATATCCATATTCTTGCTTCTTAGGTTTGATTTTTAGGATATTTGGGATGAATTTATCTCAAGTTTTATGTTTCAACTGAGAATCATTAAACTCTAAAGCTTACCTAAATCTGGTTCGCTAATATAATGATTTGGAAATGTAGGTTACCTTGTATGTTTGTCTTGTACATTTTTAGCTACTACAGCTGTCCTTAATCATCTTCTCTTGATTAAATGGATATAAAATATAAGACACAGATATAGGCACCCATCTATTGGGCGGATGTCAAATGTACAATTGCAGATAAGAATGCTGATTTGCAGATGTATCATTTCTCTTTTTGGAATGTCATTCAGGGTCTGTTACCTCGTAACATAATAGTTGGATACTAGCTTTGTTTTTAAATTATAGAGTTTTTAAAGCAAAGTTTGTATTTTGTTTCTAGGCCCTGAAATCTGCTGGTCAAATTTGGCTGTTGTCAAACTTTGACTCACAAGAGGACATAGCATACCCAAATGACCCCCGAGTTCCCATCAAGGTTGATGATGACCTGAAATTGTTATTCCGGGGAATTGAACTACCACGCGATATGATTGACATTGAGAAAGATCTTCAGAAAAACGGAATGAAGCCTGCCACAAATGGATATAAAATATAAGACACAGATATAGGCACCATCTATTGGGCGGATGTCAAATGTACAATTGCAGATTAGAATGCTGATTTGCAGATGTATCATATCTCTTTTTGGAATGTCATTCAGGGTCTGTTACCTTGTAACATAATAGTTAGATACTAGCTTTGTTTTTAAATTATAATGTCAAAAATTTTCATTTGTCCTAGAGTTTTTAAAGCAAAGTTTGTATTTTGTTTCTAGGCCCTGAAATCTGCTGGTCAAATTTGGCTGTTGTCAAACTTTGACTCACAAGAGGACATAGCATACCCAAATGACCCCCGAGTTCCCATCAAGGTTGATGATGACCTGAAATTGTTATTCCGGGGAATTGAACTACCACGCGATATGATTGACATTGAGAAAGATCTTCAGAAAAACGGAATGAAGCCTGCCACAAACACTGCAAAGAGGAGGGCCATGGCTCAGGTTCATGGCATTGGCTCAAAGCCCAAGCTGAAGAAGAAGAAGCATGAAATCAGCAAGAGGACTAAGCTGACTAATGCTCACCTTCCAGAGCTATTTAAGAACCTTAATGTTCCCAGTTCTTGATGGTGGATCAATCCTTTTCAGATTTCTGGCATTCACAGGATGTTATTCTTTCGCATTAGTTGCCTGAGATTTTCTGAATTTATGCTTGGATCCTGTAGATGTATAGTGTTATAGGGCTTATAGATAGGTGCTTTCAGTTGCTTGAAATCCTGAGATTTATCATGTGAAAGCATGAAGTCACATTTTCTAGTAATTGTTGAGATCTGAGACATTTAAAGCTGCAATGCTAATCTTGACTTTAGTTACTTGGATTATCGGCTATTATGTTTTGACGTTTGTCCCTGCTTTGAAGTAGGAATGGCAACGGGCTGGGGCAGGGCCGGGGATTACACTCTCCATCCTTGACCCCCGAAGGTATAAAATTCCCTGTCCCCCAACCCCCCGATCCCTGGTGGGGAACCCATCACCCCTCTAGCCCCCGCACCCGCACGGGGATCGGGTTTCCCCGACCCCGAAAAATCCCAATACAAAAACAACAAAATCATCAACATCAACATTAACACCATCAACAACATCATCTGTGTATTTGAGTGTGTGTCATAGAGAGAGAGAGAGAGAGATCTGCTTAGATCTGTCGTGGTGGAGGGAACCAACGCCAGAGTATGGAGTTTCGGCGACTCTAGCATCGTGGCAGTAGCGGTGGTGCGGAGGAGGAGGTGACAGTGATTGCGTCGCTGCAGAGAAAAGAGAGAGAGTGAGAGAGAGGGTAGAGGGAAGGAGAGAGAGAGAGAGCCTTGCCTTGCCGGTTTTCTTCGCGCCTTGCCTTGCCAGTCTTCTCTACTCGCCTTTGCTCGCTGATTCGGTGCTCTCTCTCTCTCTCTCTTTTTGCTCTTTGCACTCTTTCTCTCCCACTATTTGTTCTCTGCACTCTCTGTCTTTGCTTTTTATTCTATTGTCTGATGGTGGATAGAGGGGTATATATATGAATGGATATAGGGGTATAGATCTAATTTCAGTTCGGGAGAAATGGAGATGGGCCGGGAATGGGGCTAGAAAACGAATCACTGTCTCCAGCTCGAAATTATCGGGGATTTATTTTTGAATACTATTCCCGGCCCGTCGGGGGCATTTTTCGAAAAAAAACTATTCTAATCGGAGTCGGGGGGTCGGGTCCCCGTTGGGTTGGATTCAAATTGCCATCTCTACTTTGAAGGAGTTGCTCGATTGAGAGAAAAATGACACAAAGCTATATATTTCTTTGAACACTACTGTAGTTACTTTCGAGCATAATTGTTGGTTGAAACTTGAAAGAGTGGAACTCTCATCTATCTTGCCGTAATGCCATTTATATTAGATCTGTCGAACAATATAAAATTGTGGGATTTGATATTAATGAATTCGTAGACCATGTATACAAAGTTGGAAAACTATGTTAAGAACTCATTTTCAAAAGAAGCAAAGTTTAAACATTCCTAACTTCCCTCGCCTTTTAATCCTTAAATACTCTCTGTTCTATTTTAATAGTTCTTTTTAAAAAAATTTGGGTTTGTTTGGTTTGGTTTTCAGAAATACATTTTCAAAATTTTTTTTGAGAAAAGAGTTTAGAATTTTTTTGAGTTTGTTTGGTTGTATATTTTGAAAATAGTTTTAGAGTATGTGAATTTGAGATGATTTGATATTTTGTGGTAGTTGAGTAGATCTGTGTGAGAGAAAAAATGATTAAGAAGGAGAGAGGAGAGAGGAGAGAGAAAAAATGATTGATTGATATGTAGGAAAGAAAAAGTGATTTTGAATTTTTTTTCCCAATATTACTAAACCAAACAAAATTTTAAAAAACTTTCTCCAAAATTTATTTTTCAAAAACAAACTAAACATTTCTTTCAACTTTTTAAATGGACAAGTAATCATTACACTGAATTTAAATTTTCAAGTAATAATTTCTAAAATACCTTTCTGTTCTCATTTTTAAATTTGTTTATAAGGGAAAATTTTGGACACTTCATAATTTAAAGTTTTGACTTTTTAAAAAGAGATTACATTTTGAGACAATAAAAAATAGAATAATGGATTAACAAAATCTTGGTTGGGTTAGATTAAGGCCAAGTTTGGCAACATCAAGATAATCCATCTTTTTATCTTTTTTTCATCACATCGCCTCTCTACTTTTCTGCACATCTTTTCGTAAAAAGACAAAAAGTACACTTATTTAGATCATTCCAAACAATCCCTAAATTTAGTTGGCAACTTGTTATCCTAGGGGTAGAGCCCACGAATGTCATGATGTCGAATCGTCTTTTTAAAAAAAAAAAAAAAAAGAATTAACAAAATGAGACGGAGGGCATAAGAGATCTAAAGAAAACATTGGATCAATTCCTATGATTAATAGGATGGCACAAATTTAAATTTACACACCTCTTGATAGGATATTTAAAATAAAAAAATATATAAAAAAAACTAGGATACTTTAGAAATATATAAATAATTTTTTTGGTAAAAATTATACAAAAATGGTTAGATTACAAAATAATTTATTATTTATAAAGTCTACTGGCACTACATTGATTTTTGTGGGGTCTATTTTGGCAATTGAGCGTTTCAACTAAAAAAATTAAAATCATTACAAAATAGTCAATTTTCTTTTTTTTACTTGTGTTTTTTTGTAAAAAAATAAAAAAGTATACTGAAATTATTAATTTTCGAAACAATACAGTATTTAGATTGAAAACTTTTTATTTGTTTTCTTCTTCATATTATTGTAAGATGGCCATATAGGGCGCCAATTCAAAACATTCTTTTAAATAACCGTTTTTTTAAGTCCACCCATTTCCTACTCTCTCTCTCTCTATATATATTCTCTCTCTCTATATATATAGAGAGAGAGAGAGAGAGAGAGTTCTTTCAATCGTTACAAGTAAAATGCTTATTCAAACTCATACCTTGTGTCCCTTTAGCATTCTTCCAAAAACCCTAGGTTCTGCAAGGACACCCTTCGGTGGTAAGTTCAGTTTCTAATTGAAAATGCCTCTCTCTCTGTTTGGTTGCTAAGAATCTGCTTGTAAAACAAACGAATTTCAAAATTATGAAAATTTTATTGTGCTTTTTTAATTGGGAACCGTAAAACGCAATTAGGGCGAGATTTGTCTTTCCTTGGAATTGGAAACCAACACACATTGCAACAGTTCCATTTTCTCAGCAACTAAAAGCAGGGTTGTTCTCTTTTACGCCTTTATCAATTATGCTTGCTTTTTAATTGAGTCATCAGTGTGCAACTCGAAATCCGTACGGAATGAGTCTCTCCAACGGTGTAGGAATTTCAGGCTGTTTTCCTCAGCTACAGGGAATTGGAATTATCGCGGTAAAATTTTATGTTTTGGATGACTATATAATCTTGATAGTTTGTACATCTGATTGAGTTCCGCATTTGTTTGTTTCATTTCTATTTACCAGTATTCGAAATGAACGGAATTATTAATGTGGATTTTTGGAAAATGAAGAATCGAGGTGCCATATTTTCAGCTTCTGGGGGGCAGAACTCAAGTGTTGATATGGGAAGGAAAAGGTTGTCTTTTTAGCTCTCCAACTGTTTGATTTTTCACATAAAGCACACTTGAATTCCAATCTGTGGTCTACCATATCTGGATCATGATTTGGGTAGGGATTTTGAAAGCGAAACGGGTAGGTGAAAAATAACTATATTTTGTTTACATTTCACTTACATTTCATTCACCTTGTCCCTTCCCTTTCCAAATCCCTACCCAAATACATAAACCAAACACAGCCTAAGTGACTCTATCGTTAGCATCGGTTGAATGTTTGATACATGTGTTTTGTCAACTTTTCTAGTCAGTGAAAACTCTAACTCTTCTATGAAATTTTAGATTGTTAAGTTGTGATATTTTGGTCACTAACATTTTGTCCCAGAAAAGTTGTTGAACATGTATGTCTGCTCAAAGCAAAAGAGGACTTATCTGATGAGAAAGAGAAGGACATGATGGATTATCTTTATACATCCCAATATCAGATGGGTGGCATTGTGGCAGTGTCAATAGGTGCACTTTTTTTCTTTCATTCAAAAAAAGGATTAGTCATGTATAGACCTACTTCTGCTTGAGACTTGGAATTTCAGTTACTTTCGTTGACCTAGCTAGTTGATGCCAAGTGAGAGAAATGTATTCTCAGTGGCTCTACCCACCCTTCCTCCCCTACTCCCCTTTTATGCATAATGATGTATTTCTTGTGGGCAGCTTCCTGTTAATGATTTCTACTGTATTTCATTAGGAAAACATGTAGGATTGTTAATCACCTTGTTCCCTCTTGGTTTGTTAAGACTAACCCACATCAATCAATATTTTAAAAGAGTTGGTCCTTTACTGTGACATTTGATTGTAGAAATTCTAATTTTTATAGGTTGCTTTGTTTGTTTCTCAAAGACTGATCCTAAAAACTTTGAGAGTAGTCTGAAAATATATAATGACCAAGTGAGCATCAACAATTGGGTCCGTGCATGACAAATTGAGTGACCATGTACTCATTTCATGGTCATGCTTGATAATGTACATATAGTTATCGAATTATCTCTGAAGTATCAAATTTTCTCCTGTAGGACGTATCTCTGATAGAAATCTTGACAATTACACTCATGCTTTCTACATGCGTTTCCAAACAAAGGAAGCCCTTGCAAAGTTTTACAATAATACTTTCTACTTGGGAGTTCTCAAGGACCATGTAATGCCTTACTGCCATGTACGCCCTGACATGTAAACACCAAACAGTTCCTTTGAACTTTCATTTCTTCTAATTTCCTCCTGAAACAACTTTGCTAATAAAAAGGTTAAATTTCTAAAGTTTCTTGGACTTACATTTGCTGCATATATACAGGGGTTAATAAATCTGGATTATGAATCTGAAGTAGAAGATGATATCCTAGCTATATTTCGGAAAGGAGAGGTTGGAAGCACATCCTTATCAATGTCTTCAGTTCTCTTCAACGTGACTTGAGACTTGCTTCTCATTGAATAAATATGAAATGAGTTGTAGTGTTGACTACAAAGACATATACAATTTCATGATATTATATTCGCCCGAGCTAGTCATGCAAATACAGAAAAACATTTACTTGCTTTACAATGAAGGAAAGCTGTTATCTTTACTTAGTGGAATCAAAATTTTAATTCATCTATCTCAGTTGGAAAAGCAATTAGATGCCTGAAACTGAAGGAAAGATCCCCATCCGTTTCATTCTCTAAATTGTGATCTGGTTATCATTTGTTTATTAAGTTACTGACTTCTGAAGGCAGTTGAATCACTTTTGCTGACAGGAATTTAACTTCGGTGTGGAGTTTGTCGTTTTCATTGAATTTGTTGAGAGTGCATTGGGCAGGCCTGTGGAAGATGCCTTGGCTTCTCTGGCAAAGCTGACAATGGAATTTCCATCCTTAATCGTCCAAGCTACTCAAGGTGTTATAAAATTGAGAAGTAACCTTTGTAGTTGCATCATCGTTCTTAAGTCATTTATTGCTATACTGTTTGTTGGTCTTCCTTGAGAAAGCCAAGTTGAAATATAGACAGATTGCAGTTCTGTTTGTTGTGTTACTTTATACACAAGTTGCATTGATTGAGTTGTTTTTCCTCTGTTGATAGTGCACTTTACTTATTTCTACCTATTACCCTGTCTAATTTTAGGTTCAAATTTCAATGTAACCAATAAGGAATATACGCATGGGGTGGTGATACGATTTCGATCACGTGAGCGCTCTTTTGCACTCTTTGATATGTCCCAATATTAGTCACCTCATTTTTGGTGACTGCTAATTGTTTTTATGTTTCACAGTGGAGGCCTTTGAGATATTCATGAGCAGTTCAGAGTACAAAGATGTAAGGTTCCACATCTACTTCTTTCTCCTTTCTTATTCAAGTTTCTTTGTTGACTTTATAAATTCATTTTGAGCTGTTTCTTTCTTGCTTATATCTCCATCATTTCCTCACTTTTGGTCCTTTTACATGCGCTTAGATGTATTTATCTGTGGTATGACTGAATTATTTATTTATTTGTTTTTACTGCCATGTGAAAATGGCTGAGAATGACCGCTTTAGAAGTAGCAAAACAAACTAAAATAATCTCTCTAAGTTCATTGGCTGACAGGACTGCAGATTTTTTGAACTTTGTTTTCTTGATCATGGGTTAATCTAAGATTTTTGTTCTAGTCTTCAAAAGTTGGGTTGACATTTGTTGCAGTCCTAGTGAAAATCGATATAAAAATTCCCCAAGTTTCTTTGGGATACAGGAAACTATGTGCAGGCAAGGGGACAATTGATGAACTAAAAAGGAAATTTAGAAAATATTCTGAAGGCTTAACTGAAATCAGATATGAATTAAAACCTTCTTTGAACCTTATCAGTAGTTCTATCTTTTATCTTGAGGAAGTGATTATTCATAATTGGAGTCTGAATCAGCTTTGAATTTGAAAAAGCAGATGTGGAGGTCTAAATTCCAACCTATCACCCGAAACATACTTTCCAATCATTTTTCTGTAGATCCTGTGGGTACTGAGATTATTTAAGAAGTCTCAATGAATTTCATGGTATGTCTTCTTACTCCTTTAAGCTACTTTATTAAGAAAATGGAAATAAACATTCTATATATTATATGTACACTTTTGATAGAACTACAAGCTTCTTATATTTTGCATAAATTGATGGCAGAGGTTTTGAAAAAGGCGTTCCTGATCTGGGTTAGTCTACTTTTAGGAGACAAGCATGCAGGTAAAGCAATAAAAATTAAACTATCCTTTTTCTTTTATTTTTTCATAATTTATCTGGAACATCTTTTTATTTATATATGTGTTTACACATATAGTTATATACAGATTTCTCCTATCAGCTGAATTGCTTTTGCATATTTGAGCTCTTTTCCAATAAGTGGAATAGTGATGTTTATTTTCTCTTGCATCTTTTCAATAGTGGGTAGAAATGCATATGGAAAGTTGTTGCTTGTTTGTGTCACTTTTTGTATTCACAATCATACAAATATACAATAAAACCTATAATTATACAATAAATACATGATATTTAGGTTCTAGTAGAAGCATGAGCTTTAGTATGAAAGGTTGTTTTGCGTGTTTTCTCAAGTCAGTGGAATGCAGTTGCGTAGGGACCAGGTGCTGGATTGGGGATCTTGTGGGAAAGCAACATGGTTTGAATGATCCAAACACTCCAATCAAAATCTCATTCTCTAAAAAGCTGATATAGAAAATGGTATAAACTAGTTAAGAAAAAGAGAGAAAAAAAGATGATATAGAAAAATGCTGATCTGTCTGCGTTTATGCATATGTTCATTTTGTCTTCTATTTTGCTGCTAGGCCGCTGAAAGATAACATAAAAAAAAAAAAATAAATAAAAATAAAAAAGGGGCGTACTCAGTGCACGAATCTCCCGCTTAAGCGGGGTCTGGGGAAATGTTGATGTACGTAGCCTTACCCAAGCAAATGGAGAGGCTGTTTCCGTGAAAACATAAGGAAATAAACTGATTGCATATTTGGTATTGCTTGCATATTTACGTTTCAATTTGATCACATCCCCTTCTGTCTTTCAGGAAGTTACATTTCGGAATCCTTCCAAATGCATTGTTGACTGCTCGGCGGATAGAAACAATAGGTGTACAGACAATTATTAGTAATGTTTTATATATTTTATTAATCTTTTTTAGTATCAGAGGAGCCAAATTATACCCCACCACCATTCAGCCTAGTTGTATTAAAAAACATATAGACTGCTAGACTCCACAACAATGTAAAACCAAAATCCCTGACTATTTATTAATTCTCTATTTGACTTTTTTGTAATCCACTACTGTTCTTTACGTGTTTATTACTTTTAGTCGGTGACGAAACCCGATTGTATTGGTTGTTGATGGCGCTTCAATGTTAACTCTTTCTATCCTATAATTGTTTAGTACTACGAAATTCTATTATCATGTTGTTAGTATGATGTATGTGGGAAAGGGAAAAACTCTGGCAACATAAGCTCTGTTTGTTTGAGTGGAAACTATATTTTTTTTTGTGTTTTTTTGGCTTTTTGCACAATGAAAAACAGAAGTCAATGGAAAACAAATTTATTTGAGCAGAAAATATTTTCCACCTTTAACAGGTGGAAAACGTTTTCCAAACTAAAATCTTACCAATGCCACCATACTATCAATACCACCACACCACCATTACCACCACCACCACTATCACCACCTCCACCCCACTGCCACCATCACCACCACCCCACCACCACTAATACAACCATTAATCCATATTTCAAGGATACAACAAAAACATTGGAAAATGTTTCCTGTCGAAACAAAGGGAGCGATAGATTAACTTCATGTTTTCTCAACTGCAACCTTGTGTGTACTCTTCATTATTCAATCAAGTTACAATTATGTTTTTCAATCGATATGTCTTTCTATTCCAACTGCTTGTATTATACATTCTTAACTGGAAAAGAGAGGGAAAAAAAAAAAAAAACCCAAAGAAGAAGAAGAAGAAAGAACAATGACAACATGGACACTATAAAACTGCAAAACTCTGTCTAACTAGGTGTCATCATAATCTTGAGAAAGCTAACTAATTGTGAAGTGGGTTTGGTCCTGCTGGAATGGTTCGGTGTGACACTCCATAAACTGGGTCGATCTGTTCATTTCCCGATTCCTCAGGAGCTGTTGCAGAGAGATGCTGTGAAAACTGGGAATAGAATTCATTTCTAAATCTTTCGCCAGTTCCTTCAGTAGCGATTCTGTGGAGGTTGCGACCATTTGAAGGCTCGCTGATTGCGAGCATCATCATTATCATGATCAGAATTGGGACTATAGGATGTTGAATGCCCATGAATATTGCTTTTGAGAATACTCAAAAAGCCTATAACAGAAGCAGAGGAGGCGGGTTGGTTGTTATGGAGTTTGTTAACTAACGCAGGCCAGTCTGAAGTACTATAAATATGGCACCAAGCAACCTGTGGTCAACATAAGAGCCAAAAAAAAATCCCATCTTGGTATGCTGAAATGACGTAAATGCCCATTGTGTTTGGGCGAAATTGTAGCAACATTGTTAACTACATAAAATGGCCTAATCTTATCTAAGCCAGCCAATTTGTTTGGTAGTAATTTAACTCTATGTGACCAATACCTGGTTCATCTTTCCAATTGTTGTGATTATTGAGAGTGCAATAGAAGCATACAAACAACGACCTGTACGAAGCTTTTCTAAGGAATATGCCAGGGCTAACATGGTTCATTCCCCTTGTTATGGAATGCCAATTTGAAAAACCATTTGCTGAAGGGGCTTGAGTGTTGACTTGCATCAATTGCTATGGGTTTTTTTTGATTATAAATGAGCTAACACGCTATTATTATTATTAGGGTAAATTATCAATAGGTTCTACTTTTGGGACTTATTACTCAGTAGGTCCTATTGATAAATTTATCATTCTCTCTTGTTTTTATGAATAAATTTACAGTGATAAATTTATCAATCATGACCTTTAAGTAAATAAGTTTAGTTACTAAGATTGACTGGTAAGTGTTCCTTATTATTATAAATAGGTATTGGTGAAGAGTTTTGAGTTACGCACTCATATGCAGACACGTGCCGGGACACACCAAGGTCAAATAAGTTGTACATGTTGCCCTCCAATCTTATGATTGATTGATTGTAGGTGAAGAATGGGCATCAAGAACACCCATTGTTGTTGGCTAGGATTTTCCAGCAAGGTTTGTTGCCTGTTAGGCTGTTACCAGATGACTTAGATGTGCACAACTTTGTGCCTTGCAAAACACAAAGATAATAGAGGGCTGTTTGTTCCAGCTTTAACAATTCCAATTGATCATTAACTGGGGAAGGCAAGTGATGAACTGAAACAAAGTTTCACATTCTTATGATGTGGTGAAATTGTTGGGTTTGGGGGCTGCACTCTATGCTTTGAATTTGTGGGGCTGTGAGCCTTGTTGGTTGCATTCCGGCTCTATTAAGATCATTCGAACCACTCAACATGTAGAATAAGTTGAACAGATTATTCACACAAACAGTTAGATTTATAGGACATTGACAACTATACGATAGAATCACATTTGTCTCAAACTTTTGAACTGATATATAGGCCCCAATTTAATCTTTTGAGGCTAATCTATCCAGAAGATCCTATTTGTCTGAATGTCACCTATATGTACATATGCTACCTAACTGTCTACCTAGTTATCTAATGTCACCAATCTGTACCTGTGTTGCTTATCTATTCATTTATCTGTCCAGTGTTACCTATCTATTTATCTACATGTGTCACCTACTTGTAGGGCTGCAAACGAGCTAAGTCAAACCGAGCTTTGCTGAGTTTGAGCTCGGCTCATTTGCTTATCGAGCTCGTTTATTGAGTTCGAACTTGGCTCGAAAACTAACTAGGCTCATGTTCGGCTCGATAAGATTTTTTTTATTATTATTTATATATGATTTAATATATCAATAATATATTTATTATATAATTTAAATAAAGATAAATAATCCGAGCTTATTTAAATTTAAGCTCAGCTCGTTTACGAAACGAGCCGAGCAGAGCCGAGCCGAGCCGAGCCAAGCCAAGTTAGCTCGTGAACAACTCGGTTCATTTGCAACGCTCATCTATCTATCAAATGCCACCTATGTGTCGACCTCACTGACAAATTTTTGATGAAAATAGGGTTAAGTGTTATATGAATTAAAATATTAAATAGTTCAATACAGTTATTTTAAAATTGTGAGACTTACTATAATTTCTTCAAACTTTAAGACGATATATATAATTTATCCAAAAAAATTATAAAAAAGATCTAAGAGGTGGAGCCCACATATGTGGGACCACACACTTCTTTGTCATTCTTCTGTGAAATTTTGTATTTTTTATATTTTCAATTTGATTTGGTAGTTGAATTATTCCTATCATTCAATTCTCGGTATCCATTTCAAGATTTTATTACTAGACACTACATAAATTACAAACAAAATTTATTTATACAGATCTATCTATTTATATACCATTGAGGATGGTAGTCTGTACTACACTATGCAGGAGGTATAGTAGGAATTAAAAATAGGAAAAATACAAATTAATTAGGAAGCTGAAAAGTAACATCATTCTTTTCCTTCTTTTCAATAGTTAGTAGGGGTGAAATTGGTGTGGTTCGGCCTGTTTTTTTTTCCATTTTTTGGGCCAAACCAATTCATTTAGTTTTATATACATGTACCCCGGGGGGGGGGGGGAATGGGGAATAAATATTCTTTACTTTCATACTCCTTGCGACCAAGCTTTGCATTGCTCCAAATGGTCACAACTCAAGTGAGCTACCCGGTAGGCGTGTTGCCCGAAAATCCCTCCGACGGTCAAGTTAGCACCCTTGGAAAGAAGAAGGAAAGCAAGTATCGCTTAGCGTAAGAAAATTGCAGACCTTTTGTGTAGTGGAATTGTGCGTCTTTTATAGGCTATTACCTTGCCTTCCAAGATTGTGCACGCACTACCTCGCTCATCCTTTGCTGGACGCGTGAGTGTACTACCCTCTCATTTCTTTACACGTGTGCATCAATACTTCCAAACAATGTTAACTAAACATCCCAACGGTATTGATGCGTGCTTTTGGTGGGTGCCTCAGCATTTCCAATTAGGCCACGTAGCACATGATCGCCGAGCTATACTTGGCCGGTCTAACCTCAGCTCGGTCTAACCCTGACTAACCTTCAAGGCTGAGCTAACTTTTATCGGTATATACCTGAAGTGCTCAACTAGCTCGGCTCATTACTTTCAGCCTAGTTAAGCGCCATTCGTTTATCAAGGCAAATCCTGCCTGAATCTGAAGCACGACTGAAGTACTTAGCCCTATTGAGGGCAACATCATCACGTCACCTAGCTTGGCTCACTACTTGCAGTCTGGTTAAGCTCCATTCAGTCGTCAAGGCAAATCCCGCTTGACTCCAGAGCACGGTTGAAGTACTTAGCTCGGTTAAGGGCAACATCAACCTAACTCGGCCCACGACCCAAGCCCATCAACTAGCCTGGCCCAACATCCAGGCCTCAGGCCAGCTCGGTTACGCGGTTCAGAATAATGACCCAAATATGATTTTGCTCGGTTCATTTGTTCGGCACAAATTCCCCTCTCAATACATAAACCGCACCAAACCGGTTCATGCGTTTTGGTGTGATTCTGTGCGATTGTTATAGATTTGGGCCTTTTAGTCCACTTTGAACAAATAAAATTGGGCCTTTCAAACTCAAGTCCAACAGCACCTAAACCTTTTTTTGCATATTGATGCCTTATACAATGAAATTGGGTCTGATCCAATTAATCCTTATAAAATTAAATTGGGCTTTCAAATTGCTATCCAATCCAGTCCAATCCTTGTAAAATTAAATTGGGCTTTCAAATTGTTATGCTAATAAAAAATAGCAATGCATTCAATACAACATTTGATATATCCATCAAAACATTTTCCAGCAAAATTTTAGAAAATAGAAACTGTAAAATATCCAGCAAACAAAAACCCTAAAACTATAAATCCAACAAAACTAACTTGCATCATTTGAACATGACCAGCAAACATTTTTTTTGTTAGTGTTTGTACCTATTTTTGTAAAATTTCTTATCGATAAGTGGATCAATTTAATGATGACACGTGGCAATAGAGTCAAAGTAAAAGTTTTTCATTAATCAAAGGGACAGGTGGCATGAGAAAGGTTATCATGTGCATAAAGTGGTTGAAGTGAACATGAGCAGTTATCAAAGCATTTTCTCATTTAGGGGGTGTCTCATTGGAAATTATGTTGGTGGGTTGAAGGATCTCATGTGATCATGGGTTAGAGAAAGAAGGAAGAGTATAAAGGCCGGAAAATAAAGAAGGAAAAAGACATCAACAACACAACAACAACTTAGCTTTTAT